TACATGTAAAGTATTTGCATCATTTTATATTATGCAACCACATCTCTAAAGCAAACATTTGCATTGCGATTAAACTACAATCAACATATGCAACTAATTATTAGATAGACTAAACTTTTCAACTATTTACTTCACTTGAAAAGTACACTACTTTTGCACATAGAGCATAATAATTATCCAATTAGGGGCAGGAATTGAAATCCCCGTCTCAGCCCCTCGTACCTTAATTAGGAAAAATCCTACTTGGAATATATGTGAGAAAAATTATGCAAAATAAATTACTTCCTCCCATGCATATAATGACAAGAAGTGATGAATTAGAGAAATATTGAATGTTGTCATCTTACACATAAAGTGACCACTTGATATAATTAAGATGGGATGGAGCAGTAATTTGGTCATTACCTATTGGACACAGTGTGATGGGTTGTGGGGCACGTGAGTCATTTCGGACAACAGTGTGGCAAAGTACGTCAACGCAACTTGCCTACTTGTGTTCTTAGGCTTGGTTGGTCGGATCCTCACTAACCTAAGCCAAATTTTCCGATCAGAGAAAGTGAGTTTATGAGTTATTAACAAAACGCGAACACCTAATCAACAAGGGGATGTAGCTCATATGGTAGAGCGCTCGCTTCGCATGCGAGAGGCACGGGGTTCGATTCCCCGCATCTCCAATTTGCTTTTAATTTTGAAGAGATTTTCGTTCTCCCATATAATTTTGGTTTATCTCCGTGGCCTCTTGCATTGATGGGTGAAGTTATTGAATGTCACCGGCCACCCCATGTTCTGCCCAATTAACCCAAATATGAATTTGTGATTGAAATGTCTGTATTGATTCATTCTCTTAATTTAAAAAAACAAATATTTATATTAATTAAATAAAGAAAAAATAATACTCCGGATAAAATATACTCCCTCCGTCCCCTTTTAAATGTCCCGTTTTACCATATTGAGATGTCCCTATTTAATTGTCTCATACCTTATTTGGTAAACTTTGTGTGGCTCAAAATCATTCTTACTTTATTCTTACTTTATCAATTAATATCAACCACACAAACTCACTTTTCTTAAAACTCGTGCCACCATCTCCCGTCCCATTTAAAAGGGGACGGAGGGAGTAGCTAAAAAATACAGTCAGAAAAGTACCTACAACATTACTTTTTCTTATTGTTATACAGTTTAGCGCGCGAAATAAAAAACTACGTGTTTAGTTAAAAAGTTGGTTTATAAGCCTAATAAATCGAAAAACAGAGTCACCAAACGGGCTCTGTACAGGGCCGTCTTTTAGGAGGTGCAATAGGTGCTTCGCACCGGGGCCTACTCTTGTAGAGGGCCTCCAAAAATTTAGAATGTACCTTCGTCCCACTATGTTTGGGACAAGAGAGTGTGACACAACATATGAGAAAAAATGGAATTGTGTGATTAATATTGAATTGATAAACTATGAATAAAGTAAGAATGAATTGTAATCATCCAAATATTACCAAATATGGTATGTGACAAACTTAATGGGACCGACGAAAAAGGTAAAACGAGACAAACTTAGGAGGGCGGAAGGAGTAGTATTAGTTATAGATTAATTTTTCTAGATTTTTTATATTATTAAGGATTCCAATATACATACTCCTTCCGTCCCTTAAAATTTTGTCATCTTTCTTTTTTGGGACGTCTCAAAAAACTTTGTCACTTTCCCTTTTAATCAATATTTTGAAGTTCCTGTTATTTCTATCTCCTCTGCACAAACCTCTATCACATAGTTTTTACTTGGCAAAGTTTTAAGGGACAGAGGTAGTATAACTTTTAGATTCTCTAATTTGTGGCAGTTAAATATCATAAAACTTATATTTCGTTGGAGTGTCTAGCCTATTTGCATTTCATTGTAAAAATTTGTGTTATTTTCTCGTCTTAGGTCCTTAGGGGGCCTCAATTTGCTATTTCGAACCGGGGCCTCCAAATTCATTAGACGGCTCTGGCTCTGTATATTTGGTTTATATTCCATCATACAAAATACTGAAAATATTCAATTACAGTACTATCTTATACGTTATGCCTAACGACACATATGCATATGTCTACTTAGCTGAATACAAATTACAAAGAATGCACTTATATGTTCTAAGTTATTGACACCATACTTTGTTATCATGCACACTTTGATTCAAACTTACCCACTCTTATATCACCTCGTCGAATAATTTTGAAATAATCTTATCTTTCTCTTAACGGTTTCACTACAAAAAATTACTTCTAAACATGCTTGAAATTTTGGTTTAGACGGTGTTTTTTGCACATTTGGATCACATGTTCACACGGTAATAGCATTTCTGATTGGAAAGGTTAAATTGACTTAGAAATTTCTGAGCCGCCATCTGATACAAGCGCCCATTACTGCCACTAAAAAGTTGTAAAATTTGTTTGGGACAGTACTCCGAGCCTAATGTGATTTTTAATAGTGTTTTCTAATCCTATAGATACATATCAGTATTCTTTGATAAAAATATTCCGTATATACAATAATGGCATATTCCGTAGGCATAAAAAAGTAAAAATATTATAATTAACTTCGTAATATTAGTTTATAATCGCTATTATTTTCACTCTTATTAATATGGCTAGTTCATCATTTTTCATGCATGCCACTAAACTATTCGTAAAATATTAAATACTCCGTATTTATCAAACATATTTATATAACCTTTTTTTAAAATTTATGTAAGCATTATGTTTATATATTGTGTATCTGATTATAAACACATTTTCAACTGTGTGAAAAAGGTTTATATTTTGGTACATTGATTTTCTTCTTTGGTTATATCTTTAATTACTAAATCCAGAACAAATTTTAACCTGACAACTCTAATATGACAATAAATAGACATATTTTTATAATTTTCTTTAATGGGCATTGACCGGGTTAATTACATAGTTGACTGGGCTGACCCACCTTGATTCGAGGCTCCGGGCTAACCCTTCACCAGATAACTTGTTTGAATTGACTTCCAGTTCGGTTCTTACAACATAAGTTATAGTACTACATAATACAAGTATTATATAGTACGTAGTAGTACCTTTAAATTTATTCAGATTGCAACTTCATTTTTGTAGCTAGCGTGAGAATTAATCAATTTCAGGAGGCATGTTAATGTCATCAATAAATATATCCCTTATCAGGCTCCAATTCCATCAGTAAATATTCTTAACCACAAAAATATGTTTCTTTCAATAATTGAGCAAAAACCCATATAATCACAAGTCACAACAATACCAAGAATCCAAGATACAAACTAACAAAAAGATAGCGAAAGGCCCAAACAAACTTTGTGTCAATTGCGAGATTTGGATGCCTTTTGAAAGGAGAGTACGATGTGCCCTGGACAATTGGAAATTTCTTGGGAAGGTCTGGCCGTGCCTTTATTAATTTGGCTCAAAACTTTAGTTTTAAGTCATAATCTGGCTCCATTATATGTTTGGCTCCAAATGGGTCATGGTCTAGGAATGACTTTAATTGTCATATTCAAGATAAATTCCTATGTTCTAGTCCTATAATAACGTGTTCATCTGAACTTAAAAATTGGTCTTATTATTCTAGTCTAAAGTGGTTTGTCTAAGATTTTAATCTAGTTTGACAATATCTGTATATATACATATATTATTTTTTTTGAGCAATACAAATTATTTATTACTCTGTATTAATTAAATAATAATACAAATTTAAACTAATATAAAAAAGAGCAACATCAAACCAACACCGGCAACTAGACAAAGAAATAACCACTCTAGCTAGAATATGAGCAACTTGATTCATTGACCGCCTAATGTGATAAAATTTATGGAAAATCATTGTTAGCCCCCTGAGGTTAAGGTCATAATTATTAATACAACCTTGCGTTTTCAAAAATCAATTACTTGACCCCTGAGTTTTTATCATTCTCATTGTTTACCTCCTCTCGTTATTATTTGTTATATTAAATTGAATATAGCTTTTAAATTTAAGCAAATTTGTCTATAAAATTAAATTTTAGAGTAAAATACAATTTAATATCGTAATTATAAGTTAGTGTTGTTGATAGTTATTTTTTTTACTTATCTACTCAATCATAGAAAAAATATTAATGAATGTAGTTAAAAGAGAAGACTCACGAGTAAGATATAAAATATTATGATTTTTTATCTTTCTTATAGAAAAGTAAATATCATTTATTTTTTTAAACTAATAAACTTTTTTGCGAAGGAAAAATCATAAAAAATTAGTAATAGAATTAATTTAAAAAAAATCTATGATATATATGTTAGGTCTTAGATATATTGATAGCTTACAATTATTCAAACCACCATTTTTTATTTTAGGTTCGTTTTTAATACTAAACCAATCTTTTAGGTCATTGATTGATAAAATTCAATTTTTTTCTTGGTACTTCATCTTTGCTACACACTAAAGAATGGTCATTGAGTTAATGTAGCTGGATGAATTACAAGACTTTTACATTTATGATGAAGAGGTGTCTAGCTAGAATTCTGATCACAATATTTCAAACAATTTTATTTGATATATTTCATGAATATTACTCAGTTCATGAGTCTTCTACCTTAACTACTTTCATTAATATTTATTCCACGATCGAGTAACTAAGTACAAAAATAACTATCAAGAAAAATGATTCGGAGTATATAATTATAATAAACTTCACTTTACTTTTAAAATTTAATTTTATAAACAATTTTCGTTTATTTTAAGAGTTATATTAAATTTAATTGAACAAATATTAAAATGAGGGGGCATAGTGAGAATTTTCAAAGTTGAGGGGATAACTAATTGATTTCTGAAAATGCAAGGTTGTATTAATAATTATGACATAACTCAGGGGGTTAATAGTAATTGGGAAAGTTCCCGAAATAGGACAAAAACAGTTCGAAAATTCCAAAATAGGACTGCCATGTTTTTTATTCCCAAAATAGGAGTAATTACTGTCAAGTTTGGAAAATACTGACATGTTTGAGGTCTGGTACTGCCAAAACATGGCAGTAAGTAGTCTTTTTTGGGAATAAAAATATGTCAGTCCTGTTTTGGAATTTTGAAACCTTTTTTGTCCTATTTCGGGTAATATCCCATAGTAATTTTCCCTAAAATTTAATACAATTCAAATATTTTAATAAGACTGTAATATCTCCCCCAATCAATCCAAATGAGTTCCGGGATCTCCCATCATGAAATTCATTAATAGCTTAAAGGGCATCAGACTCCACGTCCACCCGATCCCATCCTTGGTTACACAGCCATGTCAAAGCCTCTCGAATGCCGATAATCTCCGATTCACGAGGGCTGCATTCTGCTGTCCAGCATTTTGCAGCACCTTTCACGAATTCCCTGGAAGAGTCCCGAACAACCCAGCCAAAGCCCCGACAACCTGTACCCATGGCGGGTGCATTCCCGGTTCCTTCCATAACAAGATAACTGTGGGTGCATTGCTGGAGCCAGCTTCCATCCTTCCCAGAATGCCTCTGCTCTTTCCACGAACCAGCCTCGCACCAGACCTTGCCTTGCCAAGTTTTCTCATTTCTTGCCTGCCATAACCCCCAATAAAGGATCACCATCCTGCTTCACTCCTCCACATTTCTCTTGCAGAACTCCTCCACCTACTGAATGAAACTCGTAGCCCCCTACCAACAGAATCCCACCCAAACCCCTTCCACAATTCTGCCGCCGCCTCACATGAGACCAAGAGATGCATGACAGATTCCTTCTCTTTCCGCAAACACTACAAACCCCTGCAATATTTACCCTTATCTTTCTTAGGTAGGGAGTAGAGAGACATATGTTACACGCAGGGGCGTAGCTAGGATTGAAGGTTGGGCTGGGCCGGTACAAAGAATTTTCCAGATAATTTTTTTAACATAAATTTTTAGACTAAAAATACAAGGAATTTTCAAATTTGGGGCGGGCCGTGGCCCGGTTGGCCACCCCTCTAGCTCCGCCCCTGGTTACACGCTTGCCAGAATTTTTTTAACTTTAGGTGGAATAGCAAACTTCCACATTTTCATCCAACCCATCCACCCAGTAGGCCAGTACCAGACTTAGTGATGGACCCGGGCCGGGCCAAGGCCCGGTCAAGCCTCGGGTCTGGTAAAGGTAGCCCGGGACCGGCCTGGGCAATGGCCAGTTCCGGTTCGGGCGGGTCACCCGGCCGGGTCACAGGTCGGGCCACCCGCCGGGCCGGGCCGGGCCAGTATTTTTTTTTTAAATTAATTATATATTATACAAATTCCTATTAAAAACAAAGTTCAAGTACATTTATTTGAAATAAGAACTACATTTGATAATTGAGAAAAAATAATAATACGAAATACATTTTCTAATGAATATCAATTGGGATTTCCGTGTGCCGTTGGTTGTTGTTTTCCCTTTGTCACAAGACTTCATATGTTTTATTGGCATCCCATATCCGTGTGAACGCCCCAAGCAACACTCTTTCTTGCACCACTTGCAAGTTGCCCACCACAGTCCGGTCTTCGGGTCCTTCCACTTGTCAAAATTGTTTTGCACAAGGGAAGGTGTACTTTCCATATTTAAAATGGTATATGTATAAGTAGGATTGTAGGAATGTAGGATAATAAGAGAAGATGAAGATGGAAAAGAGTTGGAGAAGAATTGGAGAAAAGGTGTAGAAAAATGTTAGAAAATAGATGTATTTATAGATGTTTTTGAACCCCACTCCCCACACCACCACCCCCGGGACCCCCCTGCCCCCCACCCATAGCCCCAACGGCTATATAGCCGTTTGGGAGGTTTTATTTCAAAAAAAAATTAATTTTTTTTAAAGTTATACATATTGTAAAATAAATTAATTAATTTAATGAATTAAGTAAAACTATTTGTACTTAGAAAAGTGGTTTGATTTATAATTTACAAATGTTACAAAATAGGTGTATAAGTATTTAAACAAATTACATATTGTAAACGTATTTTTAATTTAAAAACCGGCTTTATATTTTAGAAAAATAATTTTAAGTCGTTAGTTTGTAACCAATTAATTAATTTGAGAAGTGCTACATATGAAAAAGTGAACGCATATTTATTTGAAATATGAAGTACAAGTTTACAAATTAATTTGAAGTACAACTACAAATTTACAATTTTGAAATATGAAGTACAAGTTTACAATTTTGAAATATGAAGTACAAGTATAAATAAATTTGACAAGTGCTACAAAATACATTTTATAATAAATTCTAAAATACTAATCAATCAGAATCTCCGGCATAGGTAGAGCCACCATCGGTTGTTGAGTCATCCATAAAATCTTGGGAGGGGGTGATGCTCATTTCTTGAGTTCTACGTGCGGCCTTCAACCAATCGTGGTAGCATTAAGCGTCTCAAGAGACTTCGCGCTCAATCTCGATCTAGATGCCGTTAGGACGTTGCCGGCCGAACTAAATTCTTGTTCCACAGCAACTGTTGAAATCGGCATTGATAGTACTTGCTTAGCCATCCGTGCTAAAATCGGGAACGTTCTTTCTTTTGACTTCCACCAGTTTAGAACGTCAAAGTCATCATTTTCTTCAAAATCAACTTCATATGTTAAATACAAAGTAATCTCATTCAATGCACTTTGTTCAGTGACGTGAGTTGTTTTTGTTTTTTTCATAAGATTGCCAAATGCAGATTTAAAAATCGATTTTCCTTTAGATGAAGATGTTCGTGACGGGGGAGGGGGAGCGTTGCTATATTGTGCACGAAACTCATTAAGTAAGGCATAAAATAAAGCACTAACCTCGTTGTATTCCGTTTTCGGATCTATGGGGTTATCGTCATACATTGGAAATTCACCAAAAAACGCAAGATAATAGAAGTTGAAACAATCTTCCAAATCAGCAAGTCTATAACGAGGATCGAGAATAAATGCAATATCATAAATATGGGGAATATGCGCATAATATTTGAAAAACTTTTCCTTCATATAATCACAAAAATAATGAACGAAAACGGCATTCTCAAATTCTTTAAAAGCACCGGCGAGATTAACAGCTTCACGAATAAATTGGTTTGCGGTAGGTTTATAAACATGACTAAAAGTTTCAGTAGCATTAAAAAAAATATCAAAACATTACAAATTTTTTCGCAAGTGTCGATCTCAGCCGCGTTTATAATATAGTTATCATGTTCTTTTAAAAAAGCAGGAAAATGTTCTTTATATCTAAGAACAACTTTAAGTAATTTATAAGTACTATTCCAACGAATACTCAAATCTTTAGGAAAAGCAACATATCTCACACCTCTTTCAGTCAAATAAGTTTGCCATTTTAATCTAAGTTGACCATTACCCCAAATACGTCTAATCCCCCCCTTGATTACCTCCATGGAATCTCCTAACGCTTTTAAACCGTCTTGCACACATAAATTTATAACATGGCATGCACACCGTTGATGAAAAAATCTACCCATCAAAGTATTGGCACCACACAACTCACGCAATCTAGGTATAGCAGCAGTATTATTAGTAGCATTATCGAAACCAATAGCAAACACCTTATCAATCAAATTATACTCAATTAAAATACGCTCAATCAAAATATAAATATGTTCAGCGGTGTGACGATCATTAAATTCACGAAAAGCAAGAACACGTTTATGCATATTCCAATCCTCATCAATATAATGTGCACTCAGACCCAAATAATATAAATGATGAAAATCATCCTCCCATATGTCAGAACAAATAGTAACACGCCCATCAAAGTTTGCAAAAAAAATTTGTAACCTTGCCTTTTCCGCATTATAAAGCCTTATTATTTCTTTCTTAACAGTTTTGCGACTATAATTTCTAAATTGAGGATTTAAACTACCTTGTGCATAATCTCTTAAAGCAAGACTTTCAGAAAACATATAAGGCAGATTTTCTTCACAAATTAAGTTAGTCATACCAGTCAAATTTTGTGCATCATTGTAGGAGAAATTACCAAAAGGTTGAGAATTCGCAAACCTCGATATTTGAGTTTGCTTCCCCGTTCCGCCGCCTAATTTTGCATACTCCACGGGGTGCTTTGCCTTAAGATGCCTTGCGGCGGATCCGTATCCGCCGGAGGTTCCCAAACTATAATTGTTGTTGCACCACTTGCAAGTTGCGTGCCAATAGCCGGTTTGTGGGTCCTTCCATTTATCAAAATTATTTTGCATTAGTTCAGACTTACTTTTTTTATTACCGGTGGCGGTTTGGGATGAGGCAGGCTGGTTGGCGTCGTGGCTGCCGGCACCCTCCTCCTCGGCCGTCTCCGGTTCCAATTCCTCCGCATCTTCATCCTCAAGCTCCGGTTCCAATGGTCGTCGGCATTTGTTGTTGTTGTAGAAAGCGGTTATTATGTTGGGCAGGGCCGGCCCAGAGCATGTGCAGGGAGTGCGACCGCACAGGGCCCAAAAAACCCGAAGGCCCAAAAATTAGTTTTATTAGTATACTTATAACTAGTGTTATAAAATGCATAAAAACTATAAACTCCTTCGAACACCCTTAGGCATTGAAACAGGCGGCCCAATTAAGAGCCTAGAGATCTCACAAAAAAAAATTTAGCCGGAGACCGTTATTTATAAAACATTAGTGCTAGAGAATTATTTTCCTTCACCGGTGTGGGAATTGAATAGAAGACAAAAATACTTACGCTTCCAGGTCATCAATGCTCACTGCTATCAAATCAATGTTTGCTCCAAATAAGAATCACTATTAGAGCATCTTCAATGCTAAAACATCAACGGTGCATACGTGGGATGAGAGATAACCAATCAAAAAGTAATAAATAAAATATCTCTATCCTTATTTGAAGGATCTTATATCATTTTGGTAAATTTTTCTTGACAATGTTAAGCACAATGTGTAGATGTAGACACTGTGGTTGACGTTGTAGAGAAAAACCTTCCAAAAACACATAAGACCGTTAAAAGAATGAGAGAGAAATGTCATAAAATCAATTTTTTGTGTCTATATCTCTCATGCCACATGTGCACTGTGCACAATGTAGCATCGGAGATGCTCTTATAAAATTATTCCAAATATGGAAAATACACTACACAATATTGAGTAAATTATTATTATTAGAAATAATTCAGTTTTAAATTAAATGATATGCTCAAAGAGTTCTCCTTTGAAATGTAGCATAATTTGTCAACAAATAATTTTATTTTGACTCCTATTTCCGAGTTAATAATTTTGTAATTTGACATAAAGTAATACGATAGTAGTAATTTATAATTAATACTCCATATATTGCACAATATATTAAACTTTTACTTGAGTTGTTTAAATAAAAGGCCCAATTTTTACTCTTGCACAGGGTCTCTGCTTTGTCAAGACCGGCCCTGATGTCGGGCCAATTCTTGTTGGAGTTGTTCTTCGGACATCGCATCTCCATCTCGCCTTTGGTAACCCGTTTCAAAATCATCTCGGCTTTGAGATGAAGAACCGGCAAGTTCTTTACCTTTGCGGGATTTCTTCCTCCCAATCTTGTTCCTTCGATTGCGTTGGAGGTTTACCCAAATCAACCGAATATCTACCAACTTCCATCTTAAAAATGTAACAAATATTAATTCGCAACAAATATAATAATGAATACAAAACTAATGCAACTAATTAAAACTATTTTAATTAATACTTCAAACTAATTTAGGGCAAAGTAGAATTAATGTGTGACTCTAAAATTACAATTATAGCAACTTTTCAAGTACTTTAATTTAGTAAAAACTACTTAACTAATTAACTAGTATAATGAAAAATGTAACAAGAATGCTAATGAACTAATTAACTAGTATAATGAAAAATGTAACAAGAATATTAATTAACTAATTAACTAGTATAATAAAAAATGTAACAAGAATGCTAATGAACTAATTAACTAGTATAATAAAAAATGTAACAAGAATGCTAATGAACTAATTAACTAGTATAATGAAAAATGTAACAAGAATACTAATTAACTAATTAACTAGTATAATAAAAATGTAACAAGAATACTAATGAACTAATTAACTAGTATAATAAAAAAATGTAACAAGAATGCTAATGAACTAATTAACTAGTATAATGAAAAATGTAACAAGAATACTAATTAACTACTATAATAAAAAATGTAACAAGAATACTAATTAACTAATTAACTAGTATAATACTAGTTATAGTAACTAATATATAATATAATGTTTATAGTATATAATATATAAGTATACTACTATAAGATGAGTAATACACTTATATTTTATACTTTAATATATAAACTATATATTAAGTAGATGTAAAATGTATGTATTAACTAATAACTATTAAGTAGATATAATAATTAGATAAGAATTAAATATTAGAGTATAATGGAGAATTGGAGATTGGAGAATAAGAAAATAAGTATATATGAAATATAAGTAGAGAAGTAGATGTTATTATGTATTAAGTATATAGTAATAGTTTCTAAAGTATATTTAATACTTTAATATATCTAACAACAATATATCTATGAATGGGAGTTGGTACCCGTGAATTGTGTCAACACACTTAATGCATAAGATGTTGTACATTGTTAATAGAATGTGGAACCCTATTTTTTCCTTTGACTGCTTTACCCTTACAGTACCGTAAGTGTATTTAACTTCCGTTAAATACCAAGCTGATCACCGATAGCAAAAGTACAAACCTATACTTATTAGTTCCTAATGGACAGTCTATGCGTACCCTTCCATGCCACCTATTTATTTAATTTTATTTTATGTTATTTCTTCTATTATTATTTTCCCTTTTTTAGATGTGAAGTGTGTACTATAAAAAAAAGATGTGAAGTGTGAACTTGTTATTTTATTGTATAATACAGAGTACAGTAATGATGTAATTCTCATTCACTTTATAGTTTATACTCCCCGTCCAAAATTCTTTTACGATTTCACATAATCACAATTATTCTTTTTTCTTAACATACTCAAATTTCATTTAATTTTATGCATTAATATATTTTTTACGGAAAAAATATATTGTTACAATTATGGATTATATGTTCAATATAAGAAATATTGAAATATTTATTGCTCATAAAACTGGTTTGTGCACAACTATATGTATTTGGATGATACTTACATCAATTTTCTTCATGTACTTCTGAAATATTGATAAAGGATGAACCACATAATCACATATTTCCAACACAACAATTGGTTGACATGGAATATAATTATTCCGACAATTTTTAAAATATATGTATTATATGATATGTAAAATTTCATTAACTATTTAAAAAATTAAACACTCGTAACAATTTTACATGTAACACTATTTTTACAAAAGAAAACATTATTTTAGTATTGGGCAAACACTTTCACGCCTTGTGCGAGTAATCGCTAGTAAAGTATATATTAAGTAGATGTAGTATGTATGTATGTATATATTAAGCAATATAAGTAGAGATTAAGTAGATAAGAAATATAAGTAATATAGTATATGTATTTATAAGTAGATAATTAATATATAAGTAGATATAATAATTGTATAAGTATTAAATAGTAAAACAAAATATAATGGAGAATAAGAGAATTTGAGAAGATGAATATGGAGATGAGTAGAGAGTAGGATTTAGGGAGAGTTGGAGAAGAGGTGTGAAAAAATGTTTAAAATTAGGAGTATTTATAGTTTTTTTTTAACCCCCACCCCCACCCCCAAAGGCCCCTGACCCCCCTGGTACCCACCCAACGGCTATATAGCCGTTTGGGAAGTGGGCAAAAGGCCTTTTTAATTTAAAAGGAAAAAAAAAATTAAAAAAATGGACCGTTAGGCCCGGGCCTCCAAAAACAACACCCGAGCCCGGACCCGCCACCCCCACCGGTTCGGTGCCCGAACCGGACCTGGACTCGAGAACCGGGCCGGTTCCGGGCCTGTACAGTAACGGGCCGGGCCGGTCCCGGGCCGGGCAGCTCGAACCGGGTCCACCACTAACCAGACTCTTCCCTGTCAAATGTCTATAACAGGACTTCACCGAACACAGACCTTTATCCTCAAATTTCCATATTATCTGATCTGATCTATCCCTCTGGCTCAATACATTTCCTTGCACGTAGGGCTGGACTCGGGCCGGTTCAGGCCCGGTTCGGGCCAGGGCCCGGCCGGGCCTCGGGCCAGGAAAGGGGAGGCCCGAGCCCGAACCGCGGGGGGCCGGTTCCGATTCCGGTTCCGGGCCGGGCCGAACCGGCCCAATTAATTTTTTTTTTTGTTCTCCTATTTAATCCCCTACCCCTCCCCCTCAACCCCAAACCATCCCAAACCACCTCAAATGGCCCAAAATACCTAATCCAACCTAAAACTTAAAAAAATTTCAAAAAAAAAAATTAAAATCCGGCCCGGACCGGGCCCGAACCGGCCGGGCCGGTTCACCAAAACCTGGGCCCGAGCCCGGACCGCCCAGCACCCGGGCCGGGCCAAACCGAACCGGTGGACCCACCGGGCCACGGGCCGGGCCAGGCCAAACAGTGACCAGGCCGGTTCGGTCCCGGGTCGGGCCGCCCGGCCCGAGTCCAGCCCTACTTGCACGGCTGCACCGGCTTCCTGTCCCTCTCATTCAAAATATCTCTATAATAGCGTGTATACTATTACACAATGTTGGTAGAGTTTTTTCAATCTATGTTTAGTCTGATCCGATATGCTTGAATCGGGTATGGTTTGAGACTAAAATAAATACAAGTGTACTAATCCTTAGATGCATCAATTATTTCATTTTAATATGATTGAAGGATGTCAACGAAAAGTGTAATAGTTGCTCTTCAGACTACAGTCACTAAAGAGAAATATGAAGACACCAGAAGTGATACACGATCCGAACATGAACTTATGAACACACAAGTTTTTATTCAAGTCCATAATAAGTTATATGCACACTGAACACAACACCGGAGATTATATATAAACCCAACTCACAAAGCCTATTAACTTCTTGCAAAGAGAATAATGGGCGACTGTAGAGCTGGAAGATGAACACAACACAACATGAGATGACCTATGGAAGAGCAAATATAATATATATGGATAATGAATAAATACAGCTATTTACTGGTAGGATTGTGACACCTCATCGAGGTAACGATCCATGATAGAAGATACACAATCAAGGAAAGCGGCTTCACTGGTGTGCGGGAGAAGGGATTCTTGAGCTTCTTCAATAATCAGCTCAATCACAGATTTCTTTTTTATCGTCTCCCTGCACATCATGCTCCCGATGTCGAAAGCGGTCAGCCCTCTCTCTGCTGCCCCTTTCTTCAGGAGCATCGTGGAGATACGGAGTATACGTGCACATTCGTCAGGAAGCTTCCATCCATGAAACTTGAGAAGCTCAATGTCCACCTCAGCATCTAGCGTATTTATGTAGTTGATTGTCTCTGGAGAGTATGGCTGCTTTGCTTGAGGCCAGTAAAGCCAGTCAAATGTACAATCTTCCAGCTGCATAAAAACAAAAAGAACGGATGAATGTCTCATAATACACACACATGCATATAGACACACACACACACATGCACGTATATAGAAGACATCTGTTCTTTAGATCTGTTTGAGAATGAGCTTGCTGTTTTACATGATATTATTTCCCAGTGTAGTATTTATAATCACGGAATATATTTTTAATGCACAAAACAAAAAATCAGAGCGTTAGGAAAACAAATTCAGAAATTGCCCGAAATAGGAGTAAAAATGTTTTGAAATTCCAAAATAGGAGTATTATGTTTTTTATTCCCTGAATAAGAGTAATCTGCCAAGTTTGGAAAAAATGCCATGTTTAAAGCCTTATAATTTCCAAACTTGGCAGAAATTTACTCCTATTTAAGGAATAAAAAACATGATACTCCTATTTTGGAATTTCAAAACGTTTTTACTCCTACTTAGGGACTTCTCTCAAACAAATTCCTTTAGGAATTTTTTTCGTGGTGCCAAACACACAAGAAAATCTAGAATACATTTTTCAGAAAAGCATGTTCCTGGAAACAGATGGAGACTTATGTAGCGTTTGTCATTGCTTTACAAATCACTTTCTACTAAAACAACTAGAAGTAGTATTTTCAAAAAGTTCTGATTAACTAAAGCACTTTAAAACAAAAGGCTCAATACGGGAAGAGGGGTGCTAACAATTACTAACTTTTACTATTTAATACTTTCCGATTATTTCTAAAAATAAATCACTTCTCACAAGCAAATACTACCAAGCTTAGCATCAAATAGTTTGAACCACAGATCCAGAAAACAAATAAAGGAATGCATTTAATATTTAGGAGATTTTATGTGTATTTAATCTTTTTACAATCAGAGATTCTAATATGTAAATGACATATCATTCATTCATTCCTAATGTTTCTATGTAGCTAACAACCAATTTAATCCTTTATTATACATTATTTCTCAGATTGGTCGACTATGCAATTTGGACTCAATTAAGTCCTTAAACATAATTTAATCTAATTATGAAGGGATCTTTTATCTGCTAACTTGCTAAGAACTAAATTGGGTCTGACCTGCATAGTTGAGGATCAAGATTGAGTCCCAAAGTGGATCTAATTTAGTGATTCAATGCATAAACACTTCTTGCTTAGAACCAAATGCTTCTTTCTTTTAAACAAATAGGTAGGAGAATTACATTAGATCAGTATTACATAAAAACAACCACATTGAACCCTAAAATGTCCAGGGAAAATGCAGTAACATGTATAGCAGTATCGGCAAGAGACTAAATTGCAAATTAAATCTTTCTAAATCATAGCATGGCAATTAGTTCATGTTAAGCAAGAAAAAGTAATACTACCAGCCTCTTAAAACTTTGTCATCTCGTAAAGTTTGGGCCATGATTTTGATCAGTAGAGTATAATATTATGGAAGTTATGAATTTTATACTTTTATGAAAATAATTTTAACAAAGAACTTTTCCATATAATTTATATTATAAATATTTTCATTAAAAAATTATAGTTGGCCAAAGTTTCAAAGTTGGCAAAGTTTTAAGGGATAGGAGAGAATACATTTTAGTTAGTGCTCCCTCCATCCCACAAAATTTTGTCAACTTTCTTTTTTCAGCCGTCCGAAAAACATTGTCAATTCTATTTAAAGTTACTTCTCTCACCTTTAAATATTTCAACCACACAATGTTTACTTTATTATTCCACATGCAAGTCAACTTTGATCAAGTTTTACAGGACGGGTAAAGTACGACATTGTGCCATTGTGGGATTACTGGCATAACAGGTAACTAATTCCATATTCAGCAATTAGTAGTAAGCAATAAAAATAATGAAAACCACACTTACACTTTCTGGCAAGCAGTAGCCGTGATCAATCGGAACAAGAGTAATTTGCCGTTTCCCGTTATCCTTATTATGGACAACCAAAATGTTACCTGCGTGCCTATCAGTGTTGGCCAACCTTATGTCAAGCACTGAGATTTTGTGCACATCTTCCACCGGGAAAACGCCAGGACCCATCTCCTCAGAGCTTCCGGAATTCTCCACAAAGAACTGCAATGACCCAATTTTGGCCTTCTTACATGAATACCCATACTCATCATCCAGATAATTGAATCCATCGTGTAGGCATTCAACCATTACCGTGGGGGGTACCCCGGCAAAACCCTTCTCGTTGACATACACTGAACGTGGGCCTGCCTTTGGGTGATCCAAAATGTAAGCCGCCACTTCCCTTACTGCCCCTTCTCCCACACGGGTCCCCTTCTTCAAACCCTCACCATTTGTAGACAAAGGTAGCCCACGAGGATTGTTACCTGCCATAGGTTCTTCATCATTTGGCTTAAACACGGAAACATATCTCTGACCATATGAATCTTGCATAAAATATGCGCCTCCAGAACCTTCCAAAGATCTAATTGGTTCCTTGCCCATCTTTAATCCCTCAAGGGTAGCAGTAATTAGCTCCTTAATTTCAGATGTTAGAGTGACCTCTGGGTGAATAGTCAGCGGTTTCAAGACAACAACTTGTTCAAGAGACTTAGCAGGAACAACCATATCATTGGCATTTTCTAAAGCTATAATTGAAACTTCAAAATCTTTTTCCACTGGTTTAGCCCTAACTTTTGCTGATCTACGTACCAATAAGTGAAGAACAGCATCACCATTAGTCCTACATATGTCATCTATAGCCGTCTGGTCTTCAAGTTCCTCACCATCGCATATCAATTCTTGATCCTTGAGATCAAACAGTCCTTCCAACTCCGTAGCAATCTTCTTCTTCACATACCCCACATTCCTCTTCCTATCCACATTAAACTCAAAAAGCTTACCGCAAACAGTCTGAACAGTGATTGCTTGTATGTCAGATACCCTTAGAACCAAATGCAACACATTGCCATCAGTCACCCCATAGTCACGCACAAGTGAATTGTTTCGTGCCAATTCTTTGCCTTCATATACAAGCCTATGTTTCTTCACGAAGAAACCATTGTACCTTTGGATTCTTAATTTGACTGAAGCTATCGAATCAGACCCAAAAACTTGCATCAGGGTCGAAGTCCCACCAACAGATAGGTAAATCAGAATCGACTCGTCCAAATGCATCTCGCGCGGGCCCACACAGCATGGTTCATCAACGACAGGGCTTAGTGCAACGCTAGCAGTCGACATTGTGGTCTAGAATGTTATGGATTTACAGATTTCCTTGCTTCTAATAGCTTACTCCTACATAGACCAATTGAATCATTGCATACTCAAAAAGCAACCCAAGCAGATTAATTAACACCAAACTCAAGATCCCATAAAACCTAAAGCCCAGAAAATTACTGATTCCTGAAAAATCAAGCAAATAAGTATCAAAGTTTCAATCTTTAAGGGGTTGTAAACCCTAAAACAGGGAATTCGGGCAAGGAGTGGTCATCCGAGATAAAAATAGATAGGGTTACGGAGGTTTAACTGTTTAAGAACGCAATTAGTAACGTAGAGCAGGCAATGAATACTAGTGGAAAGATAGAAGCGAAAAACATACAGAGGTGTGAAACCACATAATTTACTGACCACAATGCCGAGAGACGATCAACGAAATCTTAAGATCTGAGGGAGAAAATAGACGGGGTTTTCCCTAGCCCATAGTCAGCTTCTGGGAAGTTTCATGTTCCGCTGCGATATTTGACTATTGAACGAGCGGGTGAATGAAATGGGAGAAGATGCTGTCTTACCGATCGTAATATGGTATACATATAGTAAAGCTCCAATCGTAGAGAAAAAGATACCGGGAAGCTGCCTTTCCGTACCACTCTTTATCCATCTAAATGCAATTTAATTTAATGTTTTAATGGGCTTAAGCTTCTCTAAAAATGTCTGCCCAAAAAAGCTACTCTAAAAATGGCCCAGTTTTTTAAATAATACCACCTCCGTCCCGCTAAGAAGTTCTCGTCTTTCCTTTTTAGCAGTCCCAAATGAAAGTTTCCCTTTCTCTAAATGGAAAGTAATCATACATCAAAATAGTGTCAAACAGTGCAAAATAGTGTCAAACAATGCCACACAGTGTCGAAACAGTGTCAAAATAGTAAATTTTACCCCCTATTAAGTTTATTTGCTTAATATGTGTGTAAGTCAAACTAGGAACTTCTTAGCGGGACGGAGGTAGTATTTAAACATATTATAAGTCTATTCTTTTTAGGATGTTTTCTTTTGGACTGTTTTCAGTCACAGACCAGACCAGATCAAATCAAACCAGAACAGATCAAATCAAACCAGACCAGATCAGACCAACAAATTTCAGTCCAAAAGAAAACATTCTTAATATTTAATGAATATTTTATTATTTAAAAGTGTTAACTATTTCCAAAAATGAAAAATGAAAAACTTTAACTATGTATAATGAAAACATAAGTGAGAAACTTAAAATAGGGTCCGATGGAAGTTAGTTCTAAGATGGTTTTTAATTAGTACTTGAATTTGATTTTGTATATCTTGATATGATCTATAAATCTATTTAATTGTATTCTTGTTTGTTAGATCTATTTAAGTTTAGTCTAGTTATATGGTTAGTTGTTTTTTGTTGTTGATATTTTGTTCATTCTACCATCTTTATTCTATTCTTCCTTTTCATCTCTCCCAACATGTTAGTCTCATTGCATATTTGATAATGTTTATGTGTTATTGATTTTCTTTACTTTATTCATATTTACTGATAATTTTAACTACATAAATTCACATATCATACAATTTTATCATGTCTCAATTTTAATAGGATGGAAGTAGTATAATCTGTCCAAACATAATCTCATTTAAAAGTGAGATAAGCACAAGTGAAGAGATCATTATTGAAAGGATTAAAATTACTGTTGCAATACTAGACAACATCACTGGATTTTACCATCTTAATTTCACAGCTTATATTTTGTTTTATAATTATTTACAAAATAGATATTCTGAATTGTGATATTATTATTCATTTTATTTTATGATTCTTTCAGAAAGGTGTTAACATATGCGATGCAGTGTAAAAAATCATTATTTTTTTTGTTTTCTTGACCCTATATAATTACATTTTTTGTATGATAATAAATAGTTCAAGATTACAAAATAGTGAATTTAATTTTATTAAGTTTAAAAAAACCAAATAATGTTATTTCAAAAATATAACAATGTGTTCGAGATTTCGCAACAAGACTAAAATTAATATTTATGAATTTGAAGTGCTTCATTTACATGGGATAAATAATAATTTTTCAATTTAAAATTAAAGAGTTAATATTTTAACATAAAAATAAATCTTTATTTTAACTCCTTATTTTATTTATTATTCAATTTTGAAACTTAAATATGTAATTTGTTTTTTTTTTTATCTATATTATTTATTTAAAGCCAATAAGAGTAAATTTCCTCCTTTATAGAAATATTAGGGGTATTTTGACACCTTTTTTTAAATTCGGATGTATATATGTACTTCCACATGTATTCTAGAGATATATTTACATCTTTCCCCTTGCATATTAACGAAATGAGAGTTGTTATAACGTGGGATCATCTCACGGTGAGCATCTTTCTACTCCCACCTATAAAATGGTGTCATTTAGATTTTAAGCTTTAATTTTAAAAAAATCGTGTGAATAGTACTCTTACATTTGTCTCAATTTTTATGTTAATGTAAATCCTTCGTATTGAAATGTAACTCGCGTCATTGTAAATGTAAATCCAATGTATTCAAATGTAACTCACGCACTGGAATGTAACTTGTTTTATTCTATCAAGTGGTATACAAGTGAATTTTCTCCATCTAATATAAGCAAGACAAATCGTCGGAAGAATCATCGGTTTTCTATTATAGAAATAAAATAGACAAGGGAGGGGGGGGGGGTTATGATTATAGGTTTTGATTTATTCTTGAAGGTAATGTACGAATATACGATAGTACTCAAGATACATTACTATTTGTCTATAGTTAAATCCCGTAACATGCGATTTACATTCTAGTGCAATTAATGCAATTTGAGAAAAGTAGAAAATGTTAATCAGGTTAATTGAAATGCAACTTGATAGAATGTTGAAAATGAAAATCGTATGAATTAGAATGTAACTTAAGTTAAGTGTGTAAACCGTGTTTATGAATATGTAACTTAAAGTAAATCTACACGGCCTATCTTTGGTTAATGCATTGCCTTCACATGGTTAAGCCTATGCCTGGTGCTCTTCCTTCTTCTTTGTTGCGCTGCACAAACCAAGAAGCAACCACCCACGCAAATGTCTCTTTATATCACACCAAGGGTGAAAGAAAAAATTGAGTGCCTCTTGAACGCTCAATTCATCATACCAAAAATTGAAGTTCTTAAGTATGAATAGAACTTCAAATTAGATTTCTTCCATCAGATAAGAAAAAAATCCCTTAGTGCAATCGAACCCTTCAAAATCCCCGATTTCTTCACCATCTCAATTTCATCTTCATCAATCGTTACTGCAGCGGCACATCAACACGGACAAAGACCAGAACTCAGGATTGGAACTAGGGACGGTGACGGCATGCTTGGACGGCCATTTGTGATGGAGGTAGAGCAGATGTGCGCAAATGCGGAGGAAAGATTACAGAGGGAAGAGCAGATGGAGATGTGTGGGATCGGTACACCTTGAGCACGGTGTGCCGATCTCACGGTATAATTTGCCACAAAATGAACATTTCTAGCACATGTTGGATCAAAAAACTCAGTCATTAATCACTCGTTATGAGTGACCTTCAGTCTTCAGATCAGGACTCATCAGGTTGCTCACATTATTGTTAGGGTAATCACTTTTTTGTCTGATTACAGAGATTTGCGTAGCTCTCCTTCAAATAACATTGAAAGCTGAGAGGCGAATGATAGTGATGATTAAAACAAAGAGGCCACTCTCCATAAATGAGGGTTTCTACTTTCTAGGATATTTTTCTCAAGACTTTGGTAATTGGTACTGTAAATAGAAGGTTAGGAATTTAGGATATAGTCGAGTGAAATGTTAAATCATCTCAAGTTTACACTTATTAGGATAAGTCAATGCAACCTCACTTATTCACTTGATGTGGCGAATTTTATTTTATTTGTTCTCTAAACCTCAACCTTTTTCTTTAAGAAATCTAAGTGCTTACAAAGCTTATACGAAATTGAACAAGAAATATGGAGGAAAAGATATATCTTCACATAGCATAATAACGTCAATAATAATTAACAAGTGTCACTCTCACATAGTCACACTCACACTCATGCAACCAGCCCACCGGGCGGGCAGAGTGGGGGGCTAAAGTGGTGCTACAAACAAAGATTGGGTATACAAACGGAGGCGGAATCGGGATTCTGTTGCTCCTTCCAAATCCGCCCTGTGACCCTAAGCTTAAGTTCCTTCCTATCGCCGCCTGAGAAGAAGAGAGCAACGTTACGTTGAATGATAAGGCCATCAAAGCTGTCCCTGACCTTCCGGTGGCTGTCTCTTATACTTCTAGGGGTTCCCTCCCAAATTAGCTTCCTACCCATCCCTCCTACTTCCAGACTGTAGCTATAATTGCGGGCCTCAGTCTCGTCACCCATGAACCGCACAAAGGCTATGTAAACCGGAGCCACCCCGAGCTGGAATGCCTCGAAATGTAGGCAGAAGTATTGTCCGAAACAATGGAAGACCTAATAACCAGAAGAAGGGTCAAGGGTGAGTATTAATGGAATTGTCACGCACAAAATGTCTTTATTTGGTTGCATCACAATTACCAGTTACTCTAGTATTTTAAATATTGCATATTCACAAATGGTTATTAGTGATGCAGTTGAACAAATGAAAGCAAAGCACTCAACCCCCCCCCCCCCCCCCCCCCCCCCCGAATGAAGGGTGAACAAAGTCACAAACTACTGTGAATGAGAAAAACATAAGTTGCCCTAATATTAATACCTTAATTATCATAAATGACTTCAGTTGATAGCTGAGAAAAAGATAATTGGAAAAAGAGAAAAATGGTGCTAAATGCTCTTTTGAATTTATACAACGAGTCTGACAAATATTCTGAAAATTTTTTCTTATCAAACACTAGAAGGAGGAATTTTGGAAGAAATTAGAAAGTGCATTTGGACACGAAATTTCCTAAACCTGTTACTAAGGCTGGGCATGGATCATGGCAACTTCTGCCGAAATGGCAAAAACACTCACGAGAGTTGTTTACAAATTTTATACTTAAATTCTTTTTAGCCACTATAAAATCGGAACAAACAAACAAACAAACAAACAAACAAACAAACAAACAAACAAACAAACAAACAAACAAATAAATAAACAAATAAATCAATAGTGCGAACAAATACCTAAATTAAAATTTATTGAGCATAAATCTCACTGCGATTTATCATACATTTGGAGTCAACCCTTTACTTTCGCCGACATTTTCTTTTATTCTCATTATCCTCTCTAATTTCCTCATCAAGTATTTTCTGTTTCCTAATGGACCCTAAAGTGGAAAAGTTCATTAAAGTTAAAGTGTTTCTTAAAGAAAAGAAATCATCAGCAATGCAAAACTCAAAAAGCTGTAAAGCTATGTGAAAAACAAAAGTACATTGACCCAAGAATCACATGTAAATTAAGCAGATATCCTCAATTCATTAATCAAAGGTATGTAACCCCAGTATCTACACATTCATCGGTCAGAAAATGACAGAGGACTTTCACCAGTAAACATATCAGTATATGATACCATGAACAGAAACAAGTAAATAATGGGATTAAATGAGTGCCCTTGATCCACCCAATAAAGGAAGTAAGGGAGTA